CTCCCTTGACAGACCTCCTTGTTAACTTATGGTAGAGGGTCTTTTTTTTTAAAAAATCATTTTATTGGGGACTCATACCACTCTTATCACAATCCATCATACATCCATTCATTGTGACAAGCAAATTTGTACATTTGTTGCCATCACCATTTTCAAAACATTTTCTTTCTATTTGAGCTCTTCCTATCAGCTCATTTGTTCCCCTTCCTCCTCCACCTTTCCTCCCTCATGAACCCTTGATAATTTATAAATTATTATTTTTTTCATGTCTTACACTGACAGATGTCTTCACCCACTTTTCTGTTATACATCACCCTAGGAGGGTGTTATAGTTAGATCATTTGATCAGTCCAACCTATCTTCCCCCACCTTCCCCTTACCCTCCTGGTGTGGCTACTCCCATTATTGGTCCCAAGGGGTTTATCTCTCCTGGATTTTCTGTGTTTCCAGCTCTTATCTGTACCTGTGTACATACCCTGGTCTAGCCAGATTTGTAAGGTAGAATTGGGGTCTTGATAGTGGGAGGGGAGGAAACATTGAAGGATGAGAGGAAAGTTTTATGTTTCATCGGTGCTATACTGCACCCTGACTGGCTATTCTCCCTGCAACCCTTCTGTAAGGGGATGTCCAGTTCCCTCAGATGGGCTTTGGATCTCCACTCCTCACTTACCCTCATTCACCATTATGATTTTTTGTTCTGGGTCTTTGATGCCTGATACCTGATTCTATTGATACTTCAAGATCACACAGGCTGGTGTGCTTCTTCCATGTGGGCTTTGGTGTTTCTCAGTTACATGACTCCTTGTTTATCTTTAATCCATTAAGGTCCCAGATACTATATCTTTTGGTAGCTGGGCACCATCAACTTTCATCACCACATTTGCTTATGAACCTGCTTTGACTTTGGTGGTCGTGTTGGGAAGGTGAACATCATGGAATGCCAGGTTAATAGAACAAAGTGTTCTTGTGTCCATCTGCTACCTTAATATTAAACCTATAAATATATGTACATAGATCTACTTCCCCATTGTCATATATAAATTGTGCCCTATCTGTCCCTGCTACATGGAGGCAAAACACTAAGGGTGTGCAACAGAACAGCAATGGGAGCAGAGCAATAAAGTCCCCAGGAAATACCAAAAATAGACTTTGGGGCTAGGGTGTAGTACCCCTTCAGATTCCACCAGAAAACACTCCTAATGGTCACCAAACAGACCTTGAACTATTTATAGGCTTTTCTTCTGTTTTGTTGTTGGTTTTTTGTTGTTCTTTTCTTTTCTTTTGTTGCTTTGTTTTGCTCTATCTTGGTTTTATGCATATTACTCTCTCTGCATGCCTAGCTAGATAAGATAGACGGGATAAACAATCTGGAGGAGAAAACAATGGGACTGACACTTCCGGGGGGGTGGGGCATGGGAGAGGGGAGGCAGGTGAAAGAAAGTGGTGCTAACCAACCCAGGGACAAGGGAACAACAAGGGAACTAAAATCGATGACGAGGAGGGTGTAGGAGGCCTGGTAGGACTTGATGAAGGGCAATGAAACCAAGAGGAATTACTGAAACCCAAATGAAGGCTTAACATGACAGTAGGACAAGAGGAAAGTATAATGAAATAGAGGGAAGGAGTAGCAGGCAAAAGGCATTTATAGAGGTCTAAATACAGGCATGTACATATGTAGATTTATGTAATTTATGTTAGAGTATCTTATCTATCATCTGTTAATATTGTCATTGATTAGCCCGATACTAATTAAAAAAAAACTGGTGAGAAGGGGATATTGGGTCAATGTTATGAAACATCTTGAAATAGTTGAAGGTTGACTAGTTCTTTTTTGGAATAGTGACTGTATTTCCCCCCCATCTTCTTTTGATGCTTTCTGGATATTTTCCCCATAGAATCAATATTGCAAATCAAGGTTTGCTATTTTCCTCAGTTCTTTCAATGTGAGATATGCTGAGCATGTTCTTCCTTCCTGTTTTCTAATTCTAGATCTTTGCACATTTCATTACATATTTTACTTTGCTTTCTGGAGCTGCCCTTTGAATTTTATGTTCACATCTTTGACATCATAGTTTATTCCAGGTGCCTTCACTACTCTATGATTAAGAGCAAGTTTCAAAGCCTCTTCTGATATCTATTTTCATCTTCTCTGCCTTTTAAAATGATCTTTTGCTGTCTAGTGTTTGTTCTTCTTGATGTCATCCCACAACATGTTAACCCAGTGGGCGACTCACAGAACGATCACCTCTCATCCTAAGCGGCTGCTGTTCATCTACACAACACTGGGACTTAGTCAAGTGGAATTGATGTCATCTTGAGCTCTTCATTCACTTTTAACTTTGATTTATTTGGAGTGCAGGCATTTCCCCCTTTTTTACAGAAAAAAACCCATGTCATGAAGGATGTCTAAAACTAAAGTGCATTTAAACTTTAAAAAGTGAGTAATGGTGCTGTTGAGCAGAGTATTTTGTATGAGAGATCCAGGAACAACTGCAACTGATAGATGCTTTAGTAGCTTATAAGTACAGTGGATTTTCTGATACACCTCCCAAATTTCCTTTAAGGAATGAATTCTTCCACCTAGCTGCGGGGAGTGTGGCCAACAGATATGCCTCAGCTATCAGTCCTGAAGTCGATGCCTTGGCTAACGAGATTGTACTCTTGCCCAATGACAAAGCAGGCATGTGGCTCCTTCCCAGGGAAAACTTACACCTAGTGAGGGACTGCCATGGGAATAAAGCCCACTCACTGGACTCAGAAAAACTTAAGAAATTCATCCCGTTTTTAGACCTTTGTGTGGGATAATCCCAGATTTTAACATTGGTAAAGCGGGACACCATTGACCGGGGTGCGGGGTGGTGGGTGTTCTTGATTAAAATTTGGTTCTCCTGCAGTTCCCTAGCTTGCCGTGCATTCCTTCCAAAAATCGGGACTTTTTTAAAACACCATGGGACGTGGGGCAAATTGTTAAAAATCGGGACTGTCTCGCCCAAAGCGGGACTTCTGGTCACCTTAGACTGGGATAGCAAGCACTCTCCTTTGTTGAGACAGTTTATCATAGCCCGAATTATTCCCGTCCAATTTTGCTTCCTTTTCTTCCCTATGTACTGATCCTTAATAAATGTCCTTTATACCAAAGTCCATCTTAAAAATCTACTTCACAGGAAACCCAATCTCAGACAATGAATCCAATTGCCAGAACTTTTGATCAGCAGCCAACACATATTGTTTGTGCTGCTTTAAGGAATGAATAGTGATAAACTGGAACAAGCATAGGCAACTTCTCAAGTATAGGATAGTATTGTTATCACAGTTGTGGTAATTAAAACAAAGGCAACATCGAGGACTTACTATCTCCCTCTCTTTAAGATGAGAGATAGTTGTATGAATGTACTCATAAACTGAAAGGCAAATGCTAGCTAAAAATAAAACATCCCACAAGCTGAAGTTATCACTAACAAGGGTGAACAGGATGTCAAGTATCAGTCCTTTCTACAATTATAAGGGCATTGGATGCTTAAACTATTAGAAAAGAAGGATGGGGCAGAGATAAAGAACCACATATATGGAGGGGTTAACAAAATGTTGGTTTCACTTCCTGAGATGAACTATGTAAATACACACAGTGTGGTTTCTTTTTTTAAAAAAAGAGCAGGGATTGTATGCTATGTGGATTATGTGCCAATAAAATTGTGTGTGTTAGGGGGGGAGGGGAGGGCAGGAGAAGTAAACTTGATAATGGACTTGGAGTTTTTAGTAACAAACTTGAAGTCTTTAATGACAAAGTTCATCTCCAACAAACAAAAAGTTAGAATAACATTCTTAAAAGAGCAAAATAAGCTATATACATTGTCTATCTTCTGCAGTTCTCCTAAATTTGAAGTGTAAGTTTACTTAGGGGGCGATAGTAAATGGAAAGGGATCTTCTACTGTACACCAACTCTCACTTCTTTACATCCCCAACGACACTGAACTTTCTATTGAAATCCAAGAAATTTCTACTCAAATCTGAGTTGTTTCACGAATAAGTGTTTAACCACAGTAATTGTAATGTCTTCATTTTTTAAATTAAATCTGGAAAGTCATAATGGTAAAACTGTTTATATAGGAATTAAACCTTTAGGAAAAAATTAACTAAAAAAACGATAATTTCACAGCCATCGGGTCCATTCCAACTTAGAGCGGTCCCTATAGTCAGAGTAGACCTGCCCCTGGAGGTCTCTTATCTGAAAACCTAAATTAGAGTTGACAGCTTCATCTTTCTGTCGTGCAACAGCTTGTGGATTTGAACAGCTGATCTTGAAGTTAGCTGCCCAACAGGGTTCATTTATTTCAGCCATGAAACTTTCAGAGAACGAATGAACCGTGTGACAATAAATGGTGATTTGGAGTCCGCATAAAAGCGGGTAGAGGGAGGGGTTAGATCTAGAAGGAAAGCTTCATTCAGGAAGGAGGATGAAAAACGAGAAACCCTCGCAAGACGTGGAAACAAGAGGGCTGGCTACAAGCAAGCGCGTTACATTTTATCTGGCCGTGAAAACCTGGCGACTCCAAAACTGGCGGCCATCGTCTCCTAAGTGGCTGGAGGGAGAGAAAAGCTTACACTGACAACCAACACAAACGCAGAAACTTAACTCCTGACCCCGGAAGCATTTTCTTTTGCGTAGATAGCTGGAGAATTTCCTTCTGTGATTCGTCAATTGTTCCGGAAAGAGAGAGCAAATTCCACTTGCGATTGGATGGCATCATAAAGGCGGGGCGTTAGCGGACCAATCACCTTCGCAACCGGACATGACGTTTCTGGAAGTCACTGACTAAGCTTCGCGGCAGCCCGCGGCTTCGGTGGGTGGAGTCATCAGAATTAGATCGGCTCGGTCTTGGATCGCAGGCTCCGCCCTTCGCGGCCACGCCATCCGGGACACCCCTCAACCTGCTCGTCCGATTGGCTCCGGGGCGATATCGTCGCCTGTGGGGCGGAGACTCCGGCCGATTCTCTCAGAGCTGAGGGTCGGGCCGACGCCGTCGTTCTCGAGTCTTCCGGTGTCTGGGCACCTCCTCCCTCCGAAGTCTGAGGAGACGCCCTCCGGAGACCAAGCTGCTTCCTTCCTTCCCGCTTTGAACCGCTCAGGTTTGCTCCGGGAAACTCCTGCTCAACATTCTCTCGTTCTGGTTCCCCCCCTTGAGGACTTCAGCTGTACACAACCCCCCTTTCTGGTTGTGCCCCCCCCGCCCCTTTCACCCCTCTAAAATGTCCAATAATCTACAGAGGGTCGTCCTGAAACCCGCAGAGGAAAATTCAGGCAACGCCTCGCATTGGTAAGTACTGGTTTCGCATCTCCCTCGCCCGCCCGCCCGCCTCTTAGCTGGAAGTCGAGTCGCCGGCCGTTTCCGGGGAGCCGCTGAAGCGGGGAGTGCTCTTCAGCCCCGCCCTGAGCGCGGAGTCCTCGGCGTGCCGTCGCCTGGGAAACCGTGGAGCTCCTCCGAGCCCGACGCTTGCCGCTGCGCCACAGGACCCAGCGTCTCGAATTTCACAGGCGCCCCGAGTAGATCTCCACGGGAGAGGAAAAGCAACATGGCTGGTCCTCCTGCGGGACCAAAGCCTTCTGGAAGATTCTCGTCCGTACGCAGCAAACGTAGACGGCTGTCTGCGCAGAACAGCAAATGCATCCCCGAAGGTTCTGCGCCTTCGGTGACAATAGCCATGAGTTCGTGAGGAAGAGAGCAAGGCTCCTTGTTTGTGTAATTGCTAAGAAAACAGGTGTATGGATTTAGAAATCGCAAAGTTGTACGAAAGGCTTGGATGGATGTTTTTAAAAAGTTAGCTTTATACGAAGAGGGAAGTAAAAACGGCAAATCTTTGTGAAATCAGCCGTTTAATAAGCTTATTAGAGTACCATTTCTAATGAGAAGTCAGTGAACTGTATATTTGACGTGGAGAGCCCGGTGTTTCTTAGAAAGACTTTTTGGGGTAATTTTAGAAAACAGATCATCGGTTGTTTAGTACTTCTTTAATGTGAAGGGGGAACAGAATGTTAGCAAACGTGTAATAATTGAAATTCGACTGATAGGTGGTAAGAAAAGGATAATTACGACTGAAGGAAAATTTAGAGAAAGAGCATGGGAAGTCAAATGCGAGATCATGAAAGAGAATTTTGTTTAACGAAAATCAAGCCTGGTTTTAATCCTAGCTTTGTAAGTTACTAGTGAGGCCGTGGATAGAATATTTAACGTTTTGTGCCTCAGTTTCCAGTTTGTAAATAATGACACCAAGTATTAGGATTGAAAATTGGTGTATGCAAAGGAAGAGTAGGAAAACCGCTATTTAAGTTAAATAAGAATAAAATTGTATACAATTTTTATAAAGTTGTATACACATTATAAGAATAAAGTTGTATACACATTTTAAGTTAGGAAGTAGATTTCTTTTAATTACATCTAGTTTATGAAACCTGATTAGAATGAAAATAAAAGCAAAAATGATCCTTTAAAAGCATACATGGTATTATAGAGGGAAATTATCACTAATATCAGTAAGCAAAGGACTAACCCATGAGACCCTCAGTGGTCAAACACTGTACTGCTAACCCAAAATTAGGCCTTCACACCAGTTTATTATAGCTTGATGTCTTGCCAAGAATTTTCACTTCCACTCCTGGATGCTCAAATACTAAATCAGAATCTACATTTTAACCCTACTCCCAGTGTTGACATAAGGATTATCTAGGAATCTCTTAAAAATCAGCTGAAGATCTTGTTAATGTTTAGATTCTGGTTCTATGTATCTGGGATGGAAATTCAAATTAGAAGAGGTCGATGGGAACTGGATCGAAGAGATTGGCAGTTGGAACCCACATGGTGGTTCTGTGAGAGAAAAGACCTAGTGATCTATTTTCTTTTGATTACAGCCTAGGAAACCCAATTCGGGCATCTCTACACTTACATGGGGCGCTTCTGAGTTGCATCGACTCCAAGTTATCTGACAACAACAAAGAGTTACTTGGGGGCACTAACAGTTAAAATGCTCCACTAGTAGCCTAAAATTTAGTGGTCAAGTCCACCCAGAGCTGCCTTGGAACACAGGCCTGGCAATGTGCGGCTGAAGGTTAACAGCTTTGAAAACCCTATGGAGCAGTTCTACTCTACTCATGGTGCTGCCATGAGACCAAATTGACTAGATAGCAATTGAGAACCACAACAGCTGGAAGCTAAACAATATTGAAGAACCATGAAGAAAGAACCATTGTGTATCAAATCTAAAAAGTCTAACTTTGTGTTGATTTATTTTGTGGTAGAAGTTGGAGGTGAGAAGCAAAAGTAGTGTCCTGTACGGATGATGTGCACGAGTTGAATAACTTTTGAGTGGTTAATTACTTCTACTGTAATATTGGATACCTGAGGAAATCAGATTTATCTTAATTATACACTAAAATGAATTCTTTAACATTAAAAATAATATAAAGAGTAAGAATTAACATATTTTTACTTGTTTAACTTAACCAATTTCTAATCCTTTTGACTTGGATTTTAAAAAACCACTGGAATTATGTTTTGGTTATATTTGTATGTTCTAGTTCATTAACTCATAGACATACATTATTTTCATTTTTCATTGCATTGAAATTTTGTTATTCATATCACTGAGGTTCTGTAACACCTGTTTGGAGTATTCACAAGCTAACTTTCTAAAGATATTTGGCACTGGTTATGGAGGGCATATTTGAATCTGTTTTGTAGCAATCTGCAAGATATTGAAATAGTTTTAAATATAGTGTGGTTAAATGTTATTCTTAGTCTATTAGAAATGTAACATTTTTTCAAATTTTTAAGATAAGTCATAAATTTTAATTACATTATAATCTTAAAATCTAGAGATGCTTGAATTTTGTTATTGCTTTCTTTTGGGTACATTTTTTCAATAGTGATATAGAATGCTTATTGTTTAAAGTGTTTAATTCATGAGGACCTGTAAATGCAAATTTAATCTTGTTCAAAGGAAAAATCTAGAAAATATTTGTGATAGTATACATTTATCTGGATTTGGACTCTATTATCAAATACCATAAGGAGTTAACAATAGTACTGTGGAAAAGAGGTAAACTTTACAGTTAGAGACCTGGGTTCATATTTTAGTTCTGTCAGTGCAGTTCAGAAATCCTGTTAAAAAGCATCCCTGAGTGCTTATTATGTGATAGATTGATAGATGGGGAGGTTACACTAAAGAGTAGGGCATAATTCATGCCCAGGAAAAACTGTACAGTTTGAGGCGAGGAGGCGGAGGTGATGTAATGAAGGGTTACATTACGTGCAGGATGCTAGAAGGGCATAGAAGAAGGGAGTTGTAAAGAGATCTGGAGCATCTCAGCTGGGAAACTTAAGTATCAGGTACAGTGGCATACCTTGGTACTTATCCTGTGTGGCAACTCATAGTATCAACCCACCCCCACCTTGGTGGGTTTGTACCCAGTACCCAACTCTGCCCCTGCGTTGGGTTGAGCCAAGCTGCAAGATCCTGAACCCTTGCTGCAAGAGCCCTCTTCCCTGGTTCCTTAACCCTTCCTTTAGCGTCTTCCCTCTCTGATTGGCTAAAGCAGAAATCCTCCTCTCTGCCCAAAGCCAGGCGCCTAGGCCCAACATGCCCTCATCCCCATCTGGCATGAAGGGGGTTGGCAGTTGGGGGTGGGTGGGCGGGTGGGCAGTGTTTGGAGGCCAACCTTAGTTGTCCCGATACTCCCAGTAGTTCTGTCTGCCTGTGCTGTGCTACTCCCACCCCACCATATCCCCTGGGGTCATTTTTATGTCAACCCCACCCACCCCTATTTACACCACTGATCAGTTCTCCAGTTAAACATAACTACAAGAATATGCCTAGGCAAAGGGAACTGGTAAGTAATGCATAAAAGGCATAACATAGTATTTTATTACTAGCAATGGTTTAATTCTAAACTAGAATTAGAATAAATAGATAGCTTATGGAGAATTTTATTAGTTCTGGCTAACTTTAACAGTTAAAGAGATTGTTGGTGTGCCATTGAGTCAGTTCCACCCAGCGATCCATTAGAGCAGATTAGAAATTACTCAATAGGGTTTCCAAAACTGAATCTGTATGGAAGTTACTGGTCGACTGCAGCTGCTGCTCTGGTTAGCAGGTGAGCCCTTACCCACTGTACTATCAGGACACCCTGCTAAGGAGATTAGACTTCATCTATTAGAAATTGTTCTGCGGATTTTAAGAAAAGGCTCGACATGGTCAGATAAGTGTTTTCGATTACTGATAGCAGTGTGGATTTGAGGCTGGGGCACCTATCTTTTAAGGATTTGATTTTGAGTGTCCATTCAGAAAGTCTGAGGGACTGAACTAGTTAATGGAGGATAGGGTTGGAGTAAAAGATTTAGAAGGGATAAGACCTTGTCAGAGAGTTGACAGTAGAAGAGGAGGACTAAAGAGCCATCCATTATGTCCATTTCAGGACATAATTTCTGTGTAGACATGGGTGAATTAGTTGAGATAAGAACATGCCAAGCATGCAGTCAGGAAGCCGTTTGAAACTTAGCGGCAAGGTCAGAACTGAAAGTATTAAGTTTTTAGTGTGGCCTGGAGTCAATTCTGACAGAGTTCTTCCACAGCGATTCCTAGTCTATAAATCTACAGGAGCAGATCCACGAGACTTTTCTCCTGCTAGTCTTTCTTCCTACAGAGGGAGTGAGTGGTGGATTCCAAACTGCCGACCATTTGGTTGGCAGCTCACCACCAGGGCTTCTCTACTAACTTAAAAAGACCAATCCACTGTTCATGAGTTCATTCAGACTCGTACTAATCCCAGGCAGGATTTCAGAGGCTGTAAATCTTTGGAGCAGACAGCCTCATCTGTCTGTTGGCAGAGTGACTGGTGGCTTTGAACCACCTGCCTTGCAATTGACAGTTAAGACTTCCTGGACGTCATCACCAAGGTTCCCTTCTCTTCCAGTTTAGAGTTATTATAATAGTTTGTGATAATGCATCCCACGATAATATGAACGAGCACATCCATCATGACAGTTGATTTTTATTTTCCTTTAATTCTTTGTTGACAATTGATTTTTTACTTTATTTTTTTATTGTTGTTGGCAATTAATTTTTATCTTCCTTTAATTCATTGTACTCAGGTGGGTAGCCTGTGCTTAGATAGATAGTGTTTCATGGCCAATCACTTTAGTTTATAGTCAGTTCTATATACAGTAGAATTTTTTTTTAGTGTTTGTGATTTGTATGAGGTTAGGGGAGTGTCTAAGAGAGAGATAAAGGCACCCCATTAGGCTAACACAAAGTTTCTCAGTCA